ATGCGGTATATTTGTCAATGGTCAGATATTGTATTATACTACACATTGTATATTGATTTTGTTTTACATTCATTGAGAAATGCATATACCAAAATAATGTATTAGATTACTTTTTTGTCTTGATGATTCGTTCTAATGTTTTCACATTCTGCGAAGGTGTTCTTCAACGTTATGCTTTAGCAGAATAGTGCGTAGGTAGCGCAAATTAACCTATGGCTTTCAGACACTTGAAAAGAAGTTTGCTGATTAGAAAACAGTTTGCTGGAAGTAATTTAAGTTAACGAGGATCTCCATAGACTGGAACTATTGTAGACTCATTAATTTTCATTAATACTAAAACTATCGATACTGAAGTTTTTGATGAGTAAAGTATGCTGAGGTGAGCAAATCCCTGTCTACTAAAAAGTAAGCTCTTGAAACGTTCGTTAGTGACTGTTTGCACATGAATATTTTCTTCAGATTGATGATAAAAATGGTCTTTGTTCTTCAATTTCACCAATATAAACTTAAGACTTCTTTCCAATTTTCTTCCTATTTCTTCTTAAAGTGACTAAGCATAAGTAATACAATGAATACTGGAAAAAAATTACTTATCATAATGGTTAAAATTATCGCATTGCATACGCTAAATATCCATACCACTATCTTCAAGGTAGTTTAAAAAGAAACTCACTATATTCAGCAGAAGCTGATGTCGGGTTAGACGAGACAGTGGCTGACTGAGAACTCGTTGACAGCGATGACGTACTTTCTGATTGCTGTGAGTGCGAGGTCTCCAAACGAATCAAGGATGTTTCCAAAGATGAATGCACGTTTATGCTTGAGGAAGAGCTTTGTTCCATTCCACTACCAGCTGTTTGACGGTAAGACTCAGTGTTAGTTGTGTTTAGTCCTTGTATGGCAGAGGTTGGAGTAGTGTTTGACGAAGAATTATCATAGGATATGAAGCTCGTGATATTTTCTATCAAACTGACCTCAGGTTTGGATGTATAGTTCGAGGTAAAAGAGGGGGAGTTCCGTGTAGTTGATTGTGTCTGGGTTGTCATTTCATGTGTACTGACCGAAGTATTGAGCATCTCACCACCTGATATGTTAGAAGTTGTGAAAAATGTGGCAAGTGATCTGTCTGAAAGACTAGATTCTGAGGAACTTATCATCTTGAAGACTTCTAAAGTTGAAACACTGATGTTATTGTTACTGGATGATGTTGAAGCATTTGTGTATGTCACTTGCAGTATGTTGGAAATAACCAGTGTGTTGCCTTCCGGGCTAGTGACAGTAATTTGTGGTAACTCTTGGGTGGTAGTCAAAATATGAGGTTCTGTAGTCTGTGACATATCTGTTGAAATTAAGCTGCTAATGGTAGATACCGTAGAGCTCTGAAGATCATTCATGGTGCTTGCATCAGATTTTGAGGATTGCAAAAATGTGTCCTGAGAGGTTGATAGCATTTCACTCTCTGAAATTACTGTGATCCCTTTGTCAGCTACCGTCGATGTTTTTTCAGTAGTGAATATATTCAACACTGTAAATTCGACAACATCAGTAGGTAATGTATTTCATTATTATCAAAGTTCCAAAATAAACAAACAAATTACAACGAGCACTCAGTTTAATATTTATCAAACCAAACTTCACTATCCTGTCAAAAATACTTTCTGAATGATACAAACATCATTTTGAAAAGCTCTTGTGGAGTTGACATAATGAAAAGATTTTTACAGCATTCAAACTAAATAATACACAAATCAAGTAGTTGATAGAATAGGCAGTTTTAATGTGGATGAAAAACACCAGCATGATCCTGAATGAATGGGACATTTTGACCAGAAAAGTCTGTCATTGTAATATGACCTACATAAAGTGAGATTTTATCACTTATGATAAAGCACCAAATTAATAGTTTGGGAACTTTAATTTTATCATAGTACTCCGATTGCCTTACAATGTTTGTTGACTATGGAGCAGGTACTAAATAGATCCAGGTTACTTCGAAACCAGTGTATAAGTAGGCAAATAATTGTATCATTAGAAACCTAAGATGAGTTATCTGACTGGTGGATGTGTGAGCGAGTTATTATAGTTGTGGTTGTAGCAGCTTTTAGGAAAGATAACACTGTTCTATGATGCTATAGAGCTTTGCTTAAGTCGATGTGTTTGATTTTCTGCGATGTTGCATGCACGTGTGTATATGTGCGTGTTTGCGATTTTAGTGGTTAAGCGGTGACAGTGAGGATTTGGCTGTAAGCTTGTAAGCGTTGTCTGCTGCGTGCTGTGGTGGTGTGAGTAAATTGTGATTGGATGATTCGTGAGTGTGCGCTTATGACAGTTGTAGGCAGGTGATTTTCGCTTCGCCCGACTCCACGCATACAGATAATTGTGTGTATGACGTGAAGGTTGAGTGTGACAGGCAGTTAGCGTTGCATGGAAAGTTTCAGGGAAGAGAATGTTGAAGTGACTTGAGTGGTGAGGTGAGTGGGCATAATAGAGGGAGAGAGGGAATAAGGGAGGAAGAGATGGATGGACGAAAGCAAGCACAGACTCACCTGTTGACGTCTGCGACTCAGACAGTGCGTCTGCCGATGGTGTGCTGTCGACGACGTGTGGCGTGGATGTGAACGAACCAGACTGGCTGGACTGACTCATATCACTGACTGACGCGACAGTGATGGAGCTTGGGGAGACATCTGTGAAGAGAACCAGATACATAAATACAGAGCAAATTAACGACTGAGGAATTCGGTCAGTGTGAAGGTTTGTACCAATGTCTACACTCGACGTGTGCGGGTGACGCAGCCACATTTGTGGACTGGGTACGATGTGGCAAAGACTTTTTTTCATGTTTTCTTAACGTCTTTACTTGTTATTTTTTATTGAGTGTATTGTCATTACGTCAGTTAATCAATGTTTTTGGTCTTGTCTTTTCAGTTTTATGGTTACCGTTTCCTGACTTTTCTTCTTCCGGGCTTCTTGTTACACCTTCACTATTGTCTTCTTATTTTTTGACTTAACTTTCGCCTTTCTCAGTCTTTTTTCTCTTTGTTTTTTTTCGCATTTATTTAAGTTTGCCTAATTTTTGTCAATTCGTTTTCGCCCTTGTATATTGGCATTTTTGCGTGAATACTGTCATCTTTTTTTTAACTTTGTGATTCACATGTTGGTTCTACCAATTCGGACTTTTTCTCTTCCCTACATCTTTTGGGCATGTTTTTACCCTGACATCGAGGTGTCATTCTGCCTGGTTTCATGCATATCTTAATATTTTTTTTTCTTGAAATCTATATAACGCCTCAAGTTTTGAAGGTAAAATACTGTACTTAACTCATTTTTTACTTTCTTTGAAATGAGATCTCCCGAACTTCTAATCAGTAGTTGTGACTGGTGGGGCAATCGAAGTCGTAAGTGAATACAAATACTCATTGATGACAGTGATTGCATATCACTCTTTATCGTGAATTGACAAATTTAGGAAACGGTGGACTATTGGATTACGATCAGTAGACTGAATGTTAATGAGCTCGCCATGAAACCTGGATGTCTAGGTTTCGTTCCGTAGTAGGGTTATGGAGGTGAACTACTGGCCATTACAATGCCAGCATCAACCAGCTACGTCCCTAGTTTGTCAGTGATCCTGCCCAGGTGATGTTACTTTATCATGACTTCTATCTTACAGTCATTAAATCCATACAAACCTCCACTCTTTATTTTTGGTATTTCTAAGTTTTCATGGATAAATTCTTTTCATCGATTTTTTTTTCTTTCACAAGAATTCTTAATTTCCGTTCTTCACACTCAGCCTCTACCATCTGCATTTAATTATTTTTATTATACGGTTAGAAATATGTCAACAGGAGAGGTATGATCATGTTTGTAGTAATTTGATGGTTGTGGCTACCAGAAGAATCCAGTATGCGCATTTTATCCTGTTCAGAACTCTTCAGATGGATGTACCTGCACTCCAGTCAGTGATGTTGTTGCCATGGAGTCTCAAACCTCGTACCCATAGCATCAAACTTCAAAGCGTTATCTGTTATGCCATAGGAGCCCATATGCCAATAGTGGTCGAACAGTTCAATCAGGCAAAACAACAGAGAATTAAGAGAATATCAATAAATAGTAATATGGTCACGTTTCCTACCAGTATACAGAACTTAACAGACCATACGTTTCTACATACTGCAATATATTATTTGACCTTAACAATGAGGTTGTACTCTTCCGCTTATTTGAAACTATGCGGCTTTACATTAGTTAGTCACTACTTTGTAATCAGCAGAAGGTGGTTTTCACTCTTATCGCTTGATTCCCTCTAAAACTGCTAGTTTATTCAAACGCTGAGTGATTTCAACTCAAAAAGTATCTTCATTGCTGTTCAGCTGTCTGGATCCATCAATATGTTGCTTTGCTATACTTGTATTTCTTGATCTGTAAAACTTATCAAAAAGACGTTAATTTTCTAGAGATCCGTCAGTTCTTATACACTTCAATCTGCATCACTGAAAGTTACTACAGTGTAATGGTTCCCCGAAAGTTTCAGTTAAATGTTCGAACTGAAGACGAACAGTTAGGTTTGATACGTAAATTATATTGGCTGCTTCGCACCATTGCTTTTCACTTTCGTTACTTCAACTCGATTTATCAACTAACTAGATACTTGGAGTACTTAGGGATAATTTATTGAGTTCATCATGACAGTATTATGCTTTTATTATAAGATCCTTAGTTTTTCAAACTTCTATGGTAATGTCGGAATTATAGACGTGCTGGTAATTACGTTTAGCTACATTTGGTACTTGTTTACAGTATACGTTTGAATATCTAACTAGAAATATACTGAACTTAATGAACATAACTTTCCTCCTTTAAGTGGTTAATCAAATCCATTTTTATATACAACGATAAGAAAACTGTGATTAATATGTTTTTTCACGTTACAAAAATCGAGTGTCTAACAAGTATCATATTATTGCATGTGCAATACAGTTCTCACAATAACTTACCTTCTGAATTAGTATTGTTCGTTACAGTGTCAGGAAGATTTATTGAAGTAAAATAAGTAGATGGAGATATAGTAACGGTTGACTGAGAGCCATTTGTGGTTTGTTCTTTAACTAATGATGTAAATAATAATCCATCATTTGTTATTTCATTTGAAAATGTTGAATAATCTACTGTTGTCCAAGTTTCATCTGTTAAGATAGCATACACAAAGTATAGAGATCACTTTCTTTTAGTTGAATATGAGTAAGTATAGTGATGAAAACCAGTGTAACTCTTTGAAATTGAACGATGTTGATAAAACAAGTGTTCAGATCAGAGCAATACTTACAAGCATACCGTTAGAATTAGAGAATAATTCCTGCTTTATTGAATCAGATAGGACTTAGCGTAAATTTAATGTGTCGACGCTAGGTGATTAAAGCTAGGGATGTCTTACCGATGACAAAGTAAACCCAATCTACCCAACACTTTTGCGAGCTGTTTTTTATTAGTATTCTCGACAATATTATGATAAAGCTTGTTCAAATACAGCTAACAATGAATACGTTTAGTTTTCGTCTATTCCATAGTCGAAAGTTCAGTACACTGGGAGTTAGACGTCCATATCAAGATTCAAATCAGTCACACGGCTGTAGTAGAAGTTCCTTACTAAATGAATAATGAAATCATTTGAATTAAATCTACTAAAATTCCTAAGAAATTTGAACTATAAAAACAGAAGTAGGACAGCCTGGAAGTAGCAATAAATTTTGTCAAAACAGTGGGTCACAATAAAAAAACCTTCAACTCAAATTATTCTTCAATAAAGAGAAATAAAAAAGTCTTTCAACGTATCACTAAGATCTGAGTCTAAATTATTAAACCGGTGATCTACGGCTGGAATTCCAGGCAAGTTGGATTAAAAAACAGAAACTCAGAAGGAAGTGTGATCAGAAATCAGCTGATAACTCATGGTAAGAAAGTATTCAACACAAAGTGAAATTCTATGTAATACGCCAAAGAGTATATCAGTAACGTATTTAAGAAAATCTGCTTGCCAGTCATATTCTTTATACTACCAATCAAACATCTAGTATAATATGGATTCTTTGCTTACGCTTATTAAATAGTGGATAATGGCTAGCAGTGGAATCCAGGATGCGTGTTTCACCCCAGTTGAGACTCGTCAGTTGGATGCATCTGCCCCCTAGTGAGTGGTGTTGTTCCCACTAAGACTCGAACCCAGAACCGATCGACTTAAACATGGGAGCATTTTTCACCAGACCACCGAGTCACGATACACACTTCCTTTGCAAAGGTTATAGTTTCAATGATGTTGCTTATATTAGTGCATCGTAGATTGAACCGAATCGCCTGACCTTTATTGGCTCTTCTGTGGGTGCCTCAATATTGCTTGTGTTTTTCATTTTGATATTAATGATAGGTAGTAGCTGTCGTGATTCGGTGGTCTAGTAGATAACGCTGAGGAGTTTGAAGTGATTGGTTTCAGGTTCGCACCTTAGTGGGAATAACATCGCTTGCTGGGAGGGAGGTACATCTAGCTGTCGAACCTCAAATGGGACGAAATGTACGTCCTTCATTCCACTACTAGCCGCAATCCTTCACTATTACCAAAAACGAAAATATATCCAATATCTAGGCATGCGTGAAGGAGCCCATATGACAATAAAAACTGATCGATTTGGTTCACTCAACGCCGCGATAATACAAGCAACATCAAAGAACTCATTTAAATGTTAGGTAAACGCTCGTTTACGTAACAAATATTATCTTCTACTTCAACAATAATCTACATATTCGTCTGTTAGAGTGCGAATACAGCGTGTTTAAAAAGATGACTAAGAGTACTATTTGCCTGAAAAAGTCAAACTTCGTCAAAATGTTTTTTATTCCAAGAGTAGGAATCAAAGTTTCAGATAATAGATGCGCTTAATCACAGCTTTATTTACAAGAAAAGTGAATGAACCATTCTATAATGATATCAGAGAAAGGTTCTCAATAAAGCCACCTTTGTAGTTATGTTAAGTCATTAGATCTGGTTGAAAAGAGAATTGATCTGAGATAGACAATGATGAGCTTCCACGAAAATTGAGCTTTATTTAGGAGAAACTGATTTATTCAATATAAATTGAATACTTAACTCACTTAAACCGACGTTGATCATTTTTTAAGGAAAATAATCAAGCCTGACTCAATAAGTATACTGTTTGTCAATTTCACCAAATATCGTCAATTATTATGTAAACTGCTAAACTGATGTAATAGAAACTTCTTATCTTGAAAACCTCTTACTCAGTCCTTGCATATTGTCAGTTCTAGTATACTTCTGTGGTAGTTTTTTTAACCATTTACGTAATTTGAGAATAGAACGTAACTCCGTTAAACATCTGTATACATAATATACAGCTTTCAAAGTTTGATATAAAAGAACATGGCAGATAATACTGAAAGAAATTATTCACATTTTTAGAAATACAACTTTTAATTAATATTGTTTTGTTTCAATAACCTAATTTTCAGAATATCTGCAGCGTACTACTTAAGATACCTTTATAGAATTATTGCAATGGATGTAAACTGAGTTGCTATTATGTTTATTCAATTATAATATTGTTATGAAGATAAAACTGACTTGTTAAGACGCACTGAAGATAACTTTCAAACTAATATTTTAGGTATTTCGGATAAAAACTAAAGCTTAGTAACCAAAGTGCTACTAGATTATGTTATAGTTCTTAGTATGAACAGCAGACTACTTATCTTACTAATATGGTATCACTAAGGTGATCAAAACAACCTTTGGTTATAGAAGTAATATTAGTTTTCAAAGAGTTCTGCATACACTTTATCGATGAAAGTCATTGGTGATCAGATCAAGTTTCATTATTGCTTCTTGATTCCTTACAATCATTTTGTACAACTTACTCACTTATTCCTGTACTAAATTTAAGATAAATTGCTATGAAACACTAATTATTAGCATAGTTGTTATAATGAAATTCATAAGATAAAAGTTAATGAAAGACATCATAACATCTTCCTAATAAGGAATTATATGCCTAAAATGCTAACTGAAAGTTGATAAATTTCTACCACATATATTGTCTAGTCAACCATATCACTTCAGGTTTAATGACAAAGTTTGTTATCATCATTTCAAGAAAAGAATTATCTGTTTACTGACCAGTATACTGAACGTTAAAAACTGGTAAACGCAATCTTGCTTTTATAATCACATTGTCAACAGTAAATTCACTTTACAGTAAGATAGCTGACCACTTGTGTTATAAAAGTTAGAATTCCTGAGTAAAGAATTTTTCCTATGACAATTTGAAACATTCTATATCCGCTATGAAATGATTCATCCAAGAGATTCTAAATTATTCCATAATATTACTAAATGATAGACAGTTTATGAGCATACCAATGGTTGAAACTACTGTTGTACTCTTTTAACTGTATAATTTTAGTACAGTCTAGAAAATAAAGTTTAAATAATTACTACATTTTTATCCACGTTTGCTCATTATGAATTTATTTATCAACCAGACTTGCTTATTATAAAGTAGACACGATGCCACAAGTAAAAGCTGCCTTACCTGATATTTTTATGGTATATCTTCAAAATATACTATGGTGTTGTTCCTTGATATCCAGTAACAAGGTAAACACTAACCATCGTAGTCGAAAATAAATTACATAAATCGACTATTATTATGATGATAATACATACATAAACGATTACGACCGGTGAGTTTCTATAGTATCTGTTTACATTTCCAACAAAAACCTTGACAAGTGGGTCATAACCTAATTGAAATGAAATTGTAGATCTTCATTTAATTTGAACTGCTTACTTATGCATTATAAGTCAGTTCGGGAATCTATCGAATTACAAGACCTAATTGTTAACTAGACTGAAACTTAACTGCACTCATCGACTCCAGTTCTGTTCCAAATTTACTCCTTTTTAATGACCCTCTCATCTTATAAAACTGAGTAGAGACAATGAAGTTACTTTGACACTATAGGAATCGAAAATAATCCACTCAATTTTTTTCAGTCATCAATTAAGTTAAAAATTTGGTTAATCAGACAAAAATCTTAATTTTCGTTCCATCTCTAAATTTTTACAGTTCTATAAAATCAAAACTACTACCATCTTGTGGAATAGCCAAAACTTAAAAAAACTCCTTTGTACACTAAACATTTGATTCTATACAGAATTTTTGCTTGCAGTGAATATTTGCAAAGGAACATAACATAACATAGCCCCTACTTCTAAATAGGCGTTTTTATGAAGATAAAAGATATTGATTGCCTAGTTGTAGGTGTTTCGGAATGTTTTGCCCTGTGAGTTTTCAATTGCATGATGAAGACAAATTTTAATGAAAATCTACAAGAAATTTCTATTACAATTGTAATTATGTTTACATTTCATATTGAGACGCCTAGGAGTCGGATTCAATGTTTAATAGAGCCTTAATTTACACAACAAGTGATATACTATTTACAAACAACCGTACTGCAGAAAAAAATTACCTACATTAAAAAACTAGAATTTCAACAATATCTCATAATTTAAGTTTTAAACCACATAAAACATAAACGTTACCCGCATTCGTTGTTTCCTCAGACTTCACATTGTGTTTAAAAGGTTGAAAAGTAATCGTAAGGAGTAAAACAATTTTCAACCATTGCGATTCTGTACATTTCATTGTTTCAGTTGTGTAATAGTTACTTCCTCCGCAGGAAAACTTTGCGATTTATTCTTATTTTACTGAAATCAAAAAAATAGCCTTTAGACGATTTATGTAGAAAAAAAAAGAACTATGAGCATAAAACTGTCTTAAGATTATAAATCATCGGCAAATTAATCATCCTATTTAAAGTATAACACTGCACAGAAGACAGCTGCTTAGCTAAATTCTATTGGTCTGAGCCATGCACCTCAGTCAGGTGAACCCTCCACGAACATATCTGACGAGCTCGACCCCAAGCAAGTAAAAAGGCTGTCCAGAGCTTAAACCACATCAATCGATAGATCAGTCTAAGCTGTTCTTAACTACTTTTATTGTTCACCATCAGGTAACTTTTATGCTGTACTAATCGTGTCAACTTTTGACTTAGCGTCTAAACCTTTAAATTAGCGTTTAATGAAGACCTAATTTCTCTAAATCTTATTGCTCCACGTTTGTGGACTGAAATTTTTCAGTAAAATTTATAAAACACCATAATTCACCACATCATCATTCAGATAGCTTTATTAGAAAAGAAAATATATGTATAAGCATGAATATTATTTAGAGTGTTTGCGCACCCTTTACGTCCGTAGAAGGAAGTTCTTCTACTGACGCATTTTTAACCTCATTGACCAAATCTTCATTCCTAAAATTGAAAATACCCATCTTAATTCAAAAGAATGCCAAATAAAATTTCATTAACTGTAATCGAATGATGGATTTGATGAACCTTGCATTGATGTATCGTCAAGAACGTCCAGAATTTTAAGTAAATAGTTATTTTGATCGGTTCACTCAGGTTCGTTAATCATAAGACTAAAATCCTTAGATGACATGACAGTTTAATGAAATGAAGTCATATATTCCTGAGGTGTATTTTCTTGTGGATTATTGAAGGAAAAGTGTTAGAAAAATTACAATGAAAACTAGGTTAAAATTGGAACCAAACCTTAAGCAAGTCGTTGTTGCAAATATTTTTTTCAATGTCTTTTGTCTTTATCATCGAGAGAAGATATTTTAAGCTATGTACACAAAATACACTTTGATGAACCCTTGTTCGTTCATTATTCAATTTCTTGACCTACGAATCGCCTCTTCAATTTGGTTTCTTCACTCTTAATGTAATGTCAAGCGATTGTTTCTTTTCCATACTTCACGTTCTATCTTTTGAACATTTTGATTTGCGTTACAGTTTTTTATCTACACTCTGTCATAAATACGTGGTTTCTGTTTTATTTATGGCTTATCGAAACATTTAATAATTTTCTTCCCGTGTGTCAGAATATTCAATCAACTTTTGAGCTTATTTATTCTAATACTTTTACTCACAAAACCACACGTTTTAATTTCCTGAGTAAAATTGCCAAAAGCCACCGCATATACTGGATTGCTTGTTCTTTTTCATAAACTGTACTAAGATATTATATTATCTTATTGTAAGTATCTTAACCAGAGGTTAGTGAATGACACTCTGGCAGTCAAAGTGATGGATACAAGATTGCAGTGTCAACAAGAACACTATCACTTGAAATTACTCAATGAAATCTAGTATATAAATCTCAAAAATAAAATGTCCTAAATTCCGTCAACAAACAAACTACGTCATAGTAAAACTGGAGGCAGTACCGAAGCTATCATTCAAGGAACTCTAACACCGATAGAGAGTAATCAATTGGATTCCACATAATAATATCCAACATAGATTTATGACTGTGAATGAGAAAGATCTCGTAATGCTTAAGTCAGTTTAAATTTATAGGTTCTACTGTTTTGTTGGCATTTTTACGTCATATAGGTGGAGACAACTTTTCCAAAACCTGTAAAACACAATAAACAAGTGGAAGATAAAAAGTATCGATAGCTATATTCAGAAGTGTTTGCTTTCTTGTTAAAACGCCAGTCTTCCAAAAATCTTCACAACAAATCTAATCTTTGACTTTGTTTGATAAGTTGATCCATCACTAAAACTTTCATGGATGTTCAACAGAATGACAGTTTAGTCTTAGGAATCCATGAGTGTTTCGAACAGTTGAAGAGCATTGATCGCTCTGTATAATTTCTGTATGATATAACTGTATTGTATGATAAATTTATTTGTTTAATCCCCCTATTTTTAATACCTTTATATAAATTGCGTAACTCCTCTTTGTTATATCATTTATTTCAACCTTTAACGGGAAATTACCTTGCAATGTTTTATGTTCTGCAGTAAATTCATAAATGTATAGCGAAATAAATGAGTTCGTGGAAAGGAGAATGTCTTCTTCACTGCAATCGTTCTCTCTCTTTTCCTATGATAAAATGGGTTTGCGCCAATAAACGAAAATTTTTGATTAGGATACAATTTATTAAATATTCAGTAATGCATCATAATCGGATAGCTGAAAATTGCTTATACATGAGAAGCATCTTATAGGACACT